TTTTATATGTATGTGTGATATATACATGCTTTTCTAAAAATCATATATATATGTGACATATGCATGATTTTTAGAAAAAAAAATAACATATGCATATAAACATATAAAACATATATGTATTATATATATGTGTGTATATATATAAATATGTTTATATATGTGTATATATATATATCATTTCATTATATATGTATGTGTATAATTTTTAAAATTTTATTTTTATTTTTATTATTTTATTTTTATTTTGCATTAATTAATATTATTAAATATTAGGGATTGATGATGTGGCAGATGACTAGGATGCCATGTCAGCATTAAATAATATATTTTTTCGTTCAGGGTTTTATTTGCCAATTTTTAAAAGTACAATGTTTTTTTGGATCAAAAAAAAGTATAGGGTTTAAATTGCGACGAGAGAAAAGTACAGAGTTTTAAATGAAATTATCCCTTTGATTTATTACGCTTTCTAGAAACAAGCTTCAAGTCTGGAGCTATGCCCAAGAACTGAGAATCTGTGCTGACCAAAATCTAAAAATCCGCAAGGAGAGAGCAAAGTTCCTAGAAATATCTTCCCCGCAACTCTACCGAACCCAAGTCGGTCTTATTGGTCTCCTTTGTTTCTGTTCTTCGATGTCTTATCAGATTCTTCGTCTTCATGGCTTCTGTCTGTTAAAGATTTGAGCTTGATCGGCTTCCCTTGTCCGAATCGTGTTTCGTGGAGATGGGTCCTTCTTATTTTCCCACCAGATTCACCAGGTGTGCTTTTTCGTTGGCTTAGATCTCTGTCTCGTTTCTGGGGCTTGCCCTTTGCAGGTTCATAGATCTCGATTTCATTCCTTCTGGTATTGGATTCGGTAAGAGACTCGGGAGATTAGGGGTATCTTGGTTAGGTAAATGGATTGAGCAAGTGAAAAGGTTAGGTATATGAATATGGTAAGAGCGTTGGCTCTTCTTGGATTGCTATCGTTTGCTCTAGTTGCTTTGGTGTCTGGCGATAATGAATACGTGAGCTGTAACTGTGATGACGAAGGGCTATTGAGTGTTCAGACGATTCTAGAATGCCAAAGGGTGAGTGATTTCCTCATCGCCATAGCCTATTTCTCCATACCCCTCGAGATCCTCTACTTCATCAGCTTCTCCAACGTTCCATTCAAATGGGTGCTTGTTCAGTTCATAGCTTTCATCGTGCTCTGTGGGCTAACTCATTTACTAAACGCTTGGACGTATTATGGGCCACACTCGTTTCAGTTGATGCTATGGCTCACTATCGCCAAGTTTCTCACCGCCCTCGTCTCGTGTGCCACTGCCATCACGCTGTTGACTTTGATCCCCCTCCTGTTGAAATGGAAGGTTCGGGAGCTTTACCTGAAGCAGAATGTATTGGAACTGAACGAAGAGGTCGGTATGATGAAGAAGCAGAAGGAGATGAGTATGCATGTTAGGATGCTTACACGTGAAATCAGGAAGTCTCTTGAGAAGCACACGATATTACGGACCACTCTGGTTGAGCTCTCCAAGATTCTTGATTTACAGAACTCTGCCGTGTGGATGCCAAATGAGAACAGAACCGAGATGCATCTGACTCATGAGCTGAGATCAAATCCGTTGAGGAGTTTCAGGTCAATCCCTATCAATGATCCCGATGTTCTTCAGGTACGAGAGACTAAAGTAGTGACAATCCTGAGGAAAGATTCTGCACTTGCAGTTGAGAGCTCTGGTGGTTCTGAAGAGTTTGGTCCAGTGGCTGCAATTCGGATGCCTATGCTCCGTGGTTCGAATTTCAAAGGAGGGACTCCCGAGTTGGTGGATACATCTTACGCTATTATGGTTTTGGTGCTTCCGAATGTAAATTCACGGGTTTGGATCGAGAAAGAGTTGGAGATAGTGGAGGTTGTTGCTGATCAGGTGGCTGTTGCTCTCTCACATGCCTCGGTTCTTGAAGAGTCTCAGTTAATTAGGGAGAAACTCGGTATTCAGAACCGAGCTTTGCTGAGAGCTAAGCAGAACGCAATGATGGCTAGCCAAGCAAGACACACTTGCCAGAAAGTGATGAGTCATGGAATGAGGAGACCCATGCACACTATCTTGGGCCTGCTTTCAATGTTTCAGTCGGAAAACATGAATCTTGATCAGAGGATCATTGTCGATGCATTGATGAAGACAAGCACGGTTCTCTCTACCCTAATAAATGACGTGATTGACGTTTCTCCAAAAGATAATGACAAATCTCCATTGGAGATAAAGCGGTTTCACCTGCACTCTCTGATAAGAGAGGCTACTTGTGTGGCAAAGTGCTTGTCTGTCTACAAAGGATATGGCTTTGAGATGGATATCCAAACCCGACTTCAGAATTTAGTTATAGGGGACGAGAAGAGGGCGTTCCAGCTGGTCTTGTACATGCTTGGCTATGTCTTGGATAGGCATGATGGGGGCAAAACTGTAACATTCCGGGTTATCTCCGAGAGTAGCGGTAGTCAGGACAAGAACAGAAGAGAGACGGGAATGTGGAAATCCCACGTGACAGACGACTGCATTGGCGTGAAGTTTCAAGTAGACATCAACGATAAGAACCCTCCTTCCGATGGTTCGTATATCGGTATGATGCATTTCCCCAGCAGGAGATACAATAGCAATGGCATCAAGGAGGGCTTGAGCTTAGGCATGTGTAGAAAACTTGCCCAGGTGAGTTCATTAACCCATCTATACTGTCTCAGCATCTTTAGATTATATAATTTTTTAAAGTATGGTTCGGGGATTATGGCTGTGTACTATGAATTACTGCAGATGATGCAAGGTAACATATGGATATCGCCAAAATCGCACGGACAACAGCAGAGCATGAAACTGGCTCTGAGGTTCCAAACCCGACCATCCTTCAGAAGAGCCATCTTAGGAGGACCCCATGGAAACTCTCCAGATCAAAACCCTAACTCCAACTCCCATCTCCGTGGCCTTCGAATCACGCTGGCGGATGATGACGACGTGAACAGAACTGTCACCAAACGGCTCCTGGAGAAACTCGGGTGTGAAGTGACTGCTGTCTCATCAGGGTTCGAGTGCTTGAGCGCACTGACCAACGTAGAGATGTCGTACAGAGTTGTCATTTTGGATCTCCAGATGCCGGAGATGGACGGGTTTGAGGTCGCGATGAAGATAAGGAAGTTCTGCGGGCAGAGGTGGCCGCTGATCATAGCCTTGACGGCCAGCACGGAGGATCATGTGAGGGAGAGATGCTTGCAGATGGGTATGAACGGTTTGATCCAGAAACCGGTGCTTTTGCACGTCATGGCCTCAGAGCTCAGACGGCTTCTGCAGAATGCTGGTGAGTGAGAGAGAGTGTGTGTGGGATAGAGAGAGAGAGAGAGAGAGAGAGAGAGAGAGAGAGAGAGAGAGAGAGAGAGAGAGAGACCCTTCATCTTCCCCTTGATTGTTTCACCGAGCTTTTCCAAGATTCAAGAATGGAGAATCAAGAATCAAGAATGGAGGTGATCAAGAAACCAAAAGGAAGTCATGAAAGAGAAGAACAGAGGCGGGGCAGATTCATGAGCGCGTGTCTTTTAAGCGTAGAGATCTTGAAATATGATCACGTTGGAAATAAGTTAGGGTTGTAAGATTTCATACATTAGAAACAGATCAAATTCATATGTTTCTCATGATGTATGATCAAAAGACATTGGTTTTTGTCTGAAACTAATTAGCAGTATAACCTTCCTCCTTGCCGACAGGCAAAAAATACTTGATTTTTTTTTGTTTTAATGACATATATTATACATAAATCCTTAGGTTTTAGTCACATTAAAACTAGAAATCACAGAAAAAACCAATAGAAAATTCTCTAAAATGTTAAAGATCGATTAGATTTCTCGGGTTCATGTATTAATTGTATAAAATAATGGGTTGTGTGTGTATTAATCATCCTTTTTCTTTTTGTATTTCTACACGTTCTTGATTAAGTAAAATTCCACGTGTAAACATATTTTAGTTACTTCAACATAAACTCAGTGTGTGTTCCATGCAGAGACAGCGACTGCATTGTTATTTCGGACAACCAAAGCTTTTGATTAAATATTTAAAAAATAACACCATGAAAACTAAGATCACAATAATCGATTTCTAATAGAGTACACACATACATACACATATACATATACATATATATATATATATATTGGTTTGCATGGATTCAAACAGGAATCAAGTCAAATATTCTGCATTGTCTAAATCTCGACACGAAGTACTTTGGATCGGTTATATTATAATTCCTTAACTCTTACAAGACGGATAAAGTTAGGTAAAGGAATCACTAAACACAACTTCCCATCCACGGCATGTACCATACGACCACCTTATATATAGACACACACACGCTCATGGCTTTAATCGCTTACATTTAATTGTTTTATGTTAAATTCGGTGTATATTCGAACTAAACCGGCTGAACATAAACCGGACTAGCAAAAACCAATTAGACCGACTACAATGCACTCCAATTCGTCTAATGCATTCATCAATCCACTATCAATATTTGATTAGATTAAAATAAAATAATAGTTTTTTAATTACCATGTTGTCCACCTAATGCTCTTTATCTTGTGGTCCTTGATATACTTTTTTAAAAAAAAATAATGCTCGTTTTATGGGTTGCTTTTTGAAAGTAATATTTCTTAATTGCCATATTTTAGTCATTATTATATATATATATACACACATATATATCTTTGAGTATATATGGTTTAGCTAGGGTTTTGCTTTGTTTAATTGTGAAGTTAAAAACTTTATGATCCCTTAGAAATGTACAACGATTCGAAAATCAATAAACTACAGGTATATCGTTATTAAACCTCATTAATTGATCGATTATCTATAGATTTGTAATGATTTTTTTAACAAATAAGTCTTGTATTATGTCTACACTAGATATATATCATTTTATCCACAAATATTCGGTTACGAGTTGCTAGATGAGATAAATATTATATGCACAAACGGGCAAGTGCCAAAATATACTATATTTATAAAAATGTGGAATATCTAATTTGGTTTGACACTTCTCGTTGTAATTACCTATCGAGATTTACATATGTAAATAAATGACCTAATCTGAATAATTAAATCATAAGGTAATAAAACACATACTAAGCTTCTGTGCTCAAGGAACTAGGGAATTAAATTATAATAGTTAATATATATTATATATCATAGGGTTTTGCATTTGCAAGAGGTACCATGTGAAACCATGTGAGAATAGGTTCCTCTACTCTCTTACTTTTTATGATTCCTTGAAGAAACCAAAGGGGAAATGTCTGGAAATACGTAAAATGTCGACATGTAATTTGGCCTCTCTAACATCCATCAAAATTAATTAAATGGATTCAATCATATGGAATAACTTTACATAAATGTTGAATAGATGATATATAATCTCATAAAACTTATAAAATGATTGATATATATATATATATAAAGAAACAATTGAATTTTTAAGACGGTAGACCGACTCATCAACTATAAATATGAAACAACTTCTAAAGATTATGATAGATGTACACGAACATACATAACGTTGAGTTGGTTTAATCGGTCCAAATTAATTCGGATTGACGACATTTTTTTTTTCAGAAGACTTCTTTCATATTATTTCCACATGTAAAGTTTATACACTCTAAATGTTATTCCTAAATATATAAATAAAACGAAACTGCAGTTTGGGGAGTGTAATTTCCAATGAATTCCATAAATGCACTCACAAGAAAATCTACTTATACAAATATGATAGTTTATGGGAGAGAATATCCTCTAAACCATTTTACATTCATTCCACATCATATATATATATATATATATATATATATATATATATATACATGCACCGATATAAATATAAAAATAAAAATACTAAAAAAGAAGAAGAAGCTTAATATATAGAGATCATAACAAGCATAATAAATGACACTAAGCCATGATCATAGTCAAAGAGAGGGTACAAAATAATGTAGAAAAAACACTATATAGCTCACTATTAGTAGTAGCTAACTAAGTTATTATACCATCATCGTCATAATCAATCAAGATCTGATCATTCTTATTATCCGAAAATATCCGTTTTGTTAAATTAGACTTTTGAGATCCGTTATTAATAACCTGGTCGAGTTTGAGACCAACCGTAAGCATCTTGGCTGCTGATCTGTTCTCCTCCGCCGTTGACAAGATTCCCCGGCAAATTATACACCGGAAGCCCCTGGTTCCCATCTCCTCCGCTCGGCGGTGATCCTCCTCCTCCGGCGAGCTGCCCCGGCCCACCTCCTCCGGCTCTCTCCTCCTCCTCCTCCAATGGCAATCTCTCATACGTCGCGTTCGAGAACGTGGCCGCGATCAGCATAACCGGCCCCGCAGCCATCAACGGTCCAACCACGCTACCGCCGACGATCTGGCCTTGGCCGCCGGCTAGGTATATGGTCAAGCCAGTGGATCCCGGTGGGGCAGGCCCCGGCAGGAACGAGCCCGTCATGGAAAGAATCTCGAACCTCCCGTGCAGGGCCATAACCCCTCCAGCTCCCACAGCGCCTCCTCCTCCACCTGCGGCCGGAGTGGAAGAAGGTTGTCGGAGAGTGACGTTTGCTACGGTTCCGTTTCCGCTGAGGATGCAAACGCCGCGTTGCCGTCGTCTAGCGAAGGTGGCTAGGGTTTCGACCACGTCCGAGCCACTGGCGATCTCCATGACGTGGCTCTTGAGAGCGTTGGGGCTATCGCGCGTGACGAAGATCGGAGGCTTCGGCTTGTTCTTAGAGCCTGGAGGGCGGCCACGTGGGCGGCGCGTGGGAGCTTCCACGGCCCCCTCTCGTGGCTCGTGGTCGCTATGGTTGTCTCTCTCGTCATCAATGTCTTGGTGGTGGTTGTGAGCGGTCTCACTCGCTGTGGCTCCAAGGGCCGTGTTCATGGAGATATGGAGATCGGGTTTCTTCATCTGAGATGAACTTGGCGGTGTCGTTTCGAGGCCCGATAGCCCCACTTGCCCCGTCCACCATGGATTCGCCATATAGTTACACCTCCAGAGCAAATACCAAGTTCTTGATTCAAAAGAACACAAAACCCCAATTTTAAAGATGTGGTCTTTTAAATGAAAAAAGAGACAGAAGATGGGAAACCCAACTTCAGAAAAACGGGTAAAGGTTTAGATCTAGATTTGAGCTTACAACTTCGAGTTTCAAAGAGGCACAAGAACTTAAAAGGAACACGACAAGAATGATACTCAACAAGAAAGAGAAAAGATGTAATACCTTACAATTGAGAGAAAGCCCACAAGAGTCATTAAAGTATGTGAATACTATATGAAATTTAATTAATATAAATAACAATGGACACAATATGCTAGGGTTTTTTAAGTCGCATGTATTATTCTCTGACTAACAGCACTCACTTTCTCTCTCTAGAAAGCTTAGGTGAAGTGATGTGCGTGCGTGGTTTCCTTGGTAATTAGGGTTTTTACTTTTTATTGATGTGTGGGGTCCAGTGCCAGGGTTGGACAAGATAGGGCGCACGATCCTTTTTTACATTATTTTATTTCAGTGATAAAATTATGACAATATATTTATTTTTGCAAAGAAAGTGTTAAATATGTGCAGTGTTCATTGAATCGAAACATCATTATACACACACACACACACACATATATATATATATATACGATGTGTGTTGATTATTAATTGCCAAAGAACCTTCAGGTATAAACCACATTTTAATATATGCATATTATATATACATATATACATATGAAGTGTATCGAAACAAAGGCGGACGAAATTAACCTCTAGCTTGAAATAGTCTACATGTATATGTATGTGTGAGTGATAACATCAAAATGTCTAACATATCATGTAAAATTAAAGGAACAAAAACGAATGTGGAAAATGCACTATTCAAGTACGTAAACCACAAGATTTTAATAATTAAATAACGTTAGTGGTACCATTTTTTAGAATTAATCATTAGAGAGAATGTTGATCAACTCGAACCACACTTACGATTTAAGAATATCGGCAAAACAATTTATTTAATTAAGGGATATTTGTATTATATATATGCTATAGTCGGATATTTACCATCATCCTAGCTAGAAGCTATCATTAATTTGACATTTTGTCACACACACACACACACATATATATATATATATATACACACACGATATATATATAGAGAGAGAGTTTTGTATAACAAGAATAAAATCTTTGTCATAGTCTTACATGAGTAAAAAAACTATTATAATCCAAGTATTAGATATATATATATATCTCTAATATATATTACGATAAAATATCATAGGTTCATGTATATTTTTAATATTACCAACAAAACTTGGTTGTTCTAACAAAATTATGTGGTATTTATATAATCTTTAATTTCTAGGAGTGTATGTTGTATATTGAAAATCTATATATTAATCTATATAAGTCTTGTTCGACATGATTCGTTAATCTTATATGTACACAATATGATTTTCTTGTAGACATAGTTTTCCTATGCCATTATGTTACTCGATCATCACATTTTTTTTTATGAATTGGTTACAGAAACAAATATAGAAATGTCAATGAGTGATCTATGCATGGTTTCTATCCATTTTTTAAATATTTTGAATGTATAATTAATGAAATTGTGATAGAACTCGGTCTTCTTCCCCATATATTGAACCACTCTCAACTATAGTGTATTAGTGTATATATTAAGGTTGGACAAAAGGCAAAAGGGTGGTTGAAGTCCTCGGGAATATATAATACACAATAATGGGACAAATTCATTTTTATATTATATAAAAAAGAATTATACATTAAGTTTTGGTTGACTCTTTCAATGCATGATTGATTTGTTTGGTCTTGTTCAATGCGCTACAAGATTTGTGCTTCGTGTTGCTGTCGGAAAACTTCACAAGTTTTGTCTCTTCTTCGATTATAATAAAATTTTAAAATATAAAAGAACAGAATACATTTTAATTATATATCTATTTGAAAGTTTCCAATTAATAAATGGTGATTAGATCAGTTGATTTTGACGGCTTATCTATCAATAGCTTTGTGAAAATCTCATGAATTCTAATAGACATATAAATTAGTAACTTTCGAAATTGAAATACCAATATGAATCTATAAAAAAAATTATTAGATATATTCATACTGATTAAAATAAAATAAATGCATTTTCAAATTAAATGTTTCTCCATAAATTAGTGTATGATAATAAATTGAGATGTTGCAACATTTAATAACCAGAAATACGGATATGCGATTCTAAGAAGAGTAAAATGATTTGTTGGGCCCAGGCCTTTTCGTAAAGGGTCATATATTAGGCCCAATTACCAAAGTCGGCACCTCCAGTCGAGAGCGTC